CAAGGTGAGGAACAGCCCGGGGGTGGTGGTGACACAACCCTGGAATAAAACTGGAAGGATTGCTCCATGTCCTGTCCAAGCCCAGGCTTTACAGGATGAAGAAATGGGACTAAATCCCCAGGGAATGCCCACTCAGTGAGGTGTGAGGGGCTGGGAACAGCACCCATGAGCCACCCTGCAAACCCCCAAAACAACCGAGCCAGGACAGGAATATCCAACCCGGGAATTCCAGTGGGCACAGATTTCAGGAGTGTGACCCACCCCCAGGCTGGAGGAGGATTTGCTGCAGTTTCCACCCATTTGGAGAGTTTGCTCTTATTTTTTAATAGAGTTTTTTTGTTCCTCAGTCAAGGGGAAAGGAGAAGCACTGGATGTCAGGGATACACAGGTTATCCTCCCATCCTTTAAGTCATAGCTCAAGTCTGGTTGTTTAGTGAGGCCTAAAAACACTAAATATTCAATACTGGGAAAGAGACAACAACAACAAAACAAGGCAAATCCCCGTTATGTTAATGAGCAAACAAAATCCAAGGCAATGGTGTGGATTTCCAACCAATAGCAGCTTCCCAAGATCTCCGTTTGTTAAAATCCTGCCCCCATCCATCACCCCGACTGGCATTGGACTGAGAACGGCACCCAAAGGGTTCAGGATTCTTTTCTGAAGCACAGATAAATCACTTGGATCACTGCAGGCTCTCCAGAGTGACACAACCCAGCAGGAATGGTTAATCTCTGTCACAGATCCCCTGATTTGAGAAGTTTTGGGATGGACAGTTCTCCCCACAGCAAAGTTTTGAATTTATGAGCTGCTTTTTACCCAGAAAACCCCAAATCACTCCTGAAACCAGAGATGATCTTCTGCCCACTGACACCTAACAGAGTGCTGGAATCCTGGAGTGGTTTGGGTGGGAATGCCCTTAAAGCCCATCCCATGCCCTGCCCTGGGCAGGGACACTTCCAGTGCACCACGTTGTTCCAAGTCCCGTCCAACAAGAAGCTCCACATAAATTCCAGCAGCTCCACCAACTTCCCTGAGTCCTTCAAAACCCAAATCACGACAAGCCCAAGACAAAACAGGCCAGGGAAAGGCTTCCAAGCGAGCTGGGAACACGGGAAGAGATCCGGCGGGTCGGGAGTGCCGATGCCAGGGGCTGAACTCCCCTAAGCAGGGGGAAAGGGGGATTTCCAGTCCCAAACGTCGCAGTCGGAGCTCAGGAAACAAAGACAAATCTCTGCAACATTTCCACAAGCACAGGGGAGCAAACACTGCCAGATTCCCGAGGGAAGGAGCCCTGATTTCTGCAGGTGGGATTTTCACGTGGATGTGTCACCGTGATCCGCTTTTATCCTGCAGTTCAAAAGGAATTCTGACCTGGATTCCTAAATTCCATCCAAAGCTGCTCATGGCAGCACAGCCCGAGCCTTGATACCGCCACTGACATCCCCAGGAAACAGCAGCAGTTGGAAAACATGCTCCAAAAGGAGCTCTTACCTGGAGAGACACCCATGGAGCACATCCCAGAGTCCTCTTTCCACAGCTTTTATCAGGATTTGGGCCAAATCCGAGCCCGGCTCTGGCTCTACCACCTTTCCCAAGCCCTCCCAGCCATCCCGAAGCGATGCTGCATTTCCAAAGGAAACTCCATCGGGGCAAAGCCTGAATGGATGTTTTGCAACAAAGCCCTCCCTGCCTGAATGCACAGGGAAAAACAACTTCCCTGGGAGGCGCAGCTCTGTTTACACAGGGAGTGGGAAGCCTTTTCCAGCAGCCCCTGCTCACATCCTGTGGAAGTGGCTGGGATGGGAGCAGGCTGTGCCCCAACGCCGCTGGGAAGCCCTGGAAGCAGAACTTTACGGATCAGCTGGGAATGCACAAACCCACCATGCCCAGGCTCCCACCCCAAAGCTGCAGCATCGGATACCTTACGTTCCTGAGTCAAGGTGGGATAATCCACACATCCCGGGAAGCCCTGGGAGCAAACACCCCTCGGGAAGGCGCAGCCGACAATGGCTGAAATTCCCAAGTCAAAACACAGCTGGAATAAACCATCCCCACCTTCATTCCAAGCCCAGGCAGGGCAGGAACACGTGGCCCGCAGGTGAGGTTCCTCCTGGGGCTTCTCCAACAGCCAAACGCCGGGAAAACCAGAATCCCAGGCACTAAAGGCTGGAGGGAACCTGGATTAAAAATCCAAATCCCACGTGCTGCCTGTAAAATCCACGGGAGCAAATATTCCAGAGCCTTCTCAAAGCCAAGAGCTTCACCTGCCACCACGGACAAGAGACACTGCCCGGGTGGAGTCACCTGCCAGGGAAAACTCCCGGGAATACGGCAGGAAAAACACACACAAACACCCCTGCTGTGCCAAACCCACCACGGGACACGAAGGAGACACAAAACCCCTGGAGAATGGGATTGAATCCATGTAGGAACAGCTCCACGTGCCAGACAGGACCATCCTGCCTTGGAAAAAAGAGTCCAAGGCCAGGTTGGACGGGGCTTGGAGCAACCTGGGATAGGGAAAGTGTCCCAGGTTGGAATGGGATGAGCTTTAAGCTCCTTCCAATCCAAACCAGCCCGGGATTCTATGGAACAGCTGGAATTCTGCCCAGGATCCTGCTTTCTCCTCTCCCAGTTGTGACACCAAGGAAAGACCAACCCCAGGGAGACACAATCTGAGGGAACACCACTGGGATTCAGGATCGAGGATAAGGAAGGAGAGAAGGGAAACGCCAAAATTAAGTGAAAACTCGCCAAAATTAAGGGCAAACACACCCAAATTAAGGGAAAACAGCCCAAAATCAAGGGAAAACATCCCAAAATCAAGGGAAAACATCCCAAATTAAAGGAAAAGTCACCAAATTTAAGGGCAAACAAGCCAAAATTAGAGGAAAACACACCAAAATTAAGGTAAGCCACTTCAAAATTAGGGGGAAACACGCCAAAATTAAGGGAAAAATCACCAACTTTAAGGGACAACAGCTCAAAATTAAGGGAAAACACTGTGGTGGGAACACTGAGGGCTGTGGAATGAGGAGATAACAGGGAGTCAGCTCCTGGATTCCCACCCCACTCTGGGACTTGTCTCCAGAAGTGGCTGCACTTTGTTGGGACACTCCAGCACCATTCCCGACCTGGAGCTTTCCGAGGCCGCCTGGGAAAAAGGTGGGAAAAGGCCTCCCCCCACCCTGACCCAGATTCCCTGGAATTCCTGGCCCTTCAGCCAAGGGGAAGAATTCCAGCTGCTGACCTGCCGGGCTCCCGGGGGAGCTCCAGCCTTTTGAATGCCAAGGACATTCCTGGTGATCCCGGGGTTATTCCACACATGGAACACTTCCCCAGGCAAGGGTTTCCACCCCCCTTTTGTTCCTCCTCCAAGCATTCCTTGGAATTCGGGTCCTTCACAGCGAGACACCAAAGCTCTGCTCCTGCCCCTCCCAAGAAATGCCCTTCCTGATTGGAAAACCCCACTGGAAAAGCCAGAGACGCCCGGGAGAGGTCTGGGCAGCAGGAGATAATCCCTGAGCCCCCGCAGAGACAGGAAAACCATCCCAAATAAAGCCATTCCCAAAAGAGACTGGCAGGGAAAACACTGGCGAGCAACACCCCAAATCCCACCGGCTGCTCCAACACAGCAATGCCAGGGCCAAAATCCAGGGATTTATACACACAGGGGCGAAGGGATGAGAGTGGGGATGTGGATTCACGGGGAATTACGTGGGAATAACGGGACACCGGGGGGGAAACGTGGCTTTTTGGGGAAACAGGGATTTTGGCGGGAAACGTGGCCTTCTTTGAGGGAAATATGGATTTTTGGGGGGAAATACGGACTTTTGAGGGCAAACACAACTTCTATGGGGGAAACCATGGATTTTTTGGGAGAAGCGTGGATTTTAGGGGGGATCATGGCTTTTGGCAGGAAACGGATTTTAGGGGGGAAATACGGCTTTTTGGGGGGAGAAATAGGGAATTTTTGGGAAAAACGTGACTTTTGGGCGGAAATAAGGCTTTGTGGGGAATGGCTTCTGGGGGAAACAAGGATTTTTGGGGGGAAAATGGCTTTTTTGGG